ACTTTCGGGGATCCTGAAGAAGTATATATATATATATATATATACACATATTTGTATATTAGCGTATGAGATTCTGTATTCTATGTCTTGCTCTTTTTTTTTTCAGGGTTGCTGATAAACGACAGAATATCCCACAAACCATCTTGCTTTTTAAGGGTTATCTATAACTGGTAGAATCCCCAAAAAAATTCCATTCCCTCAGTTTTAACTTATAATTCTAAAAACAGAGTTTTGAAACCTCCGGTGGGTACGGCACAGATAGCCCTTTGATTGTGTTTAACAAGAAACAATATCCCCCAAAAAATCGTTTTGCCCGTTTCTAGGGTTAATGAATCGTCCAACTCAGTAATGTAGTAAGTCTAATTGTAGTGATAGGAGAATAACAACCTTCCATATAGTGTGACATGTATATTATACGATTTTTAGGATTAATAAACAAAGCCATGACGTACCTATCCTGGGGCCCGGGCATGGCCTGGTGGTTAGGGCACTCGACACGCGAGTTTGAATTCCCGTCACGGAACATGCTCGTCCTTTTAGCCGTGTGGGTGTTATAATGTGACGGTCTATATCACTAGTATCTGGTAAAAGAGTAGGCCAAAAGTTGGCAGCGGGTGGTGTCAACTAGCTGCCTTCCCTCTAATCTTTCACTGCTGATTTAGGGACTGCTAACGCAAATAGCCTTGGAGTAGCTTTGCGCGAAATTAAAAAACAAACAAACTTATTAAGTTCGTTTCGACTCATTTACACCAGCGTAAAAAGTGAAAACCAGTTTCTGGTAAATTCCAGCCAAGATATAAGACACCAACGGCTCCTGGAGCGTAAAAAGTACATCGCGAAGAAGTGAAATGATTCTTAATGAATCAGACTAGAATATAAACTATAAAGTAGCAAGAAGAAGAAGACGAACAACAACAACAACGAAAATTACCCGAGAGGCAAAATTCGCGTACTTCAATATAAAATAATTAATACTGCAAATATATGTTTATCTATTGGCTTCATCTTCTAATTAATGTTCACTTTAGATAAAAACGTTAATCTTGAAACTGGAATCAAACGACGGTCATCTTTTAAACGAATGAACACAGGTTTATCTTATGTCACGTGAATCTGATAGAGAATGCCTAAATTCAGTACGTTGCACTTATACCTTGGATGGTCTGGACATTTTAACGTAGATTATTTAATTCTTCTGTAAATAAGTCGGTAAGAAACGAGTTCAAAAAAACTTTTCAGTAACTAAAGATATTTCTCGAATCTTACAGTTTTTGAAAGTATAAAATAACTAAAGACTTCCAAAAAAAAAGGAGACTTTTTAAATAAAAGTTCACGTTGATTAACACTCATACTTGTTTTACGAATGACTAAGTGGTCATGTTGAAAATCCGATTGACGTTTGGTTAGTTTGTTTTAATTTCGCACAAAGGACTATCTGTGCTAGCGTCCCTAATTTAGCAGTGTAAGACTAGAGGGAAGGCAGCTAGTCATCACTGCCACCGCCAACTCTCGGGCTACTCTTTTACCAACGAATAGTGGGATTGAACGTCACATTATAACGCCCACGGTTGAAAGGGCGAGCATGTTTGGTGTGACGGGGATTCGAACCCGCGAGTCGAGCGCCCTAACCACCTGGCCATGCCGGGCCAACGACTTGAATTGTACATTTAGTACCTGATGATGACATAAGCTTATCCAGAACGTTGTACATTTGTAACAAAGTGTCTTTCACTACCCATTCAAGCCGTTTCCAAACTTTTTTTTTTTAAAAGACACTCTAATTTATAAAGATAACGACTAGTTTATTTTAACGTTATTCGTTTAATATATTCGACTTTAAACTTTGTTGCTATGACAAGTAGACTTGTTTTATTTTACGGCAATCCCGTCAACTCTTATCGAGTCGAATTCACGAAAAACGGAAAATCGGGGAACGTAGTGACGTCATCCATGAGTCAGGGGAATTTTAGCGCGTGATGCACGTATTACAAAATTAAGATTGTGTGCAAAACTCTTTATAATATGTGTCATGCGGGGTTTAAAAAAAAGAAAACTTTTACACAACATTCTTGAAAAATAATTTATTTTTAATTTGTTTGAATTCAAATATATGAAATATATATATATAAAGTATATCTAAATGACTAGTGTGATAGGAATGTGCAGTGAATTTAGATTTAAAAACAATAATTAAAACTGACCAGGAATTCTCATAGGATATTACAATGTGCAACGACATTATATATATTTTTTGTTTTATAAAGCTTCGACTTAAATTCTTTATCAAGTATAATAAGAACAGCTGGTTTATATATATATATTAAAAAAAAAAGGGATTGTTCCTTTGAGGCATTATGGGATATGTTTTGAAATTATCCCTTTCAATTTTAAACGTTTTGGGGTTAGTGTCAGTTACATAGGTAAGCCTCAGATACTGGAAAATGGGGGTCGTTGAATAAGTTCTTAATTGTATAATTACTTATGTAGGCTTACCCGTGCCTTTAATAGCTTCAATGATAAATAATTCTTTATTGTCGTCAATATGGATACTGTTTATTGGTAATTTTTGTGTTGATGGTTTGAATCGTAATGTGTTTTGAGAGTTAAGAGGAACGGGATGTGGGGGGGGGGGGTACAAACGTCGGCAATTAGCGTGATTTTTATCACAAATCTTAGGTTTATTTGTTACCAATACAAATAGTTTAAATGTGATATTGTAGGAAATATAGAAAATACATATACGTACCCCTCCTAAGTTTCATTTCTTCATTTTAATGCAGGAACACTAATTTTAATAATAATATAAGTATTATTTGCTAAAACTATTGCCTGTTTAATCTGTAACATTGTGCTAAAACACAGATCACTCTTCCCATTTGTCTCTCGGCTAGAACAGGATGTCCCGAGAGTTTATTTTCTTGTCCTTAAGACTATCAGTTATTCATGAATGAAAATTATCGAAGAAACGCTGGAGGACATTTTGTTTAGAAACAACTATTGTAATGCCCCCCATTCAACGGCTTAGCGGTAAGTCGATGACATGGGCGCCCACAGAAATATACTCAAGAGGGGCAAAACATATATGTAGGGGATAAGATTTTACAGTGTAAGTCAACAGATTAAAATAATATGTTATGTGTGTTTAAACGCAAATACAAATTTACGATTTTAATACAAGTTACTAAAAATATTTAATTTAACTACGATGTTAATCTACATCATAATATCTGCAATCTTTTGTGAAATGTAAGGGGGGGGCAAATGCCCCCACTTGCCCCTCCTGCAGGCGCCCATGTTCGGTGGGCTTTTAAGGCTACAAATCGAGTTTCGATACTCACAGTGGGCTTTTAAGGCTACAAATCTGTTTTCGATACTCACAGTGGGCAGAGAACAAATAGCCCATTGTATGACGTTGTGCTTTACGACAAAGAAACAAATAAAACTATTGTAATATGCGCATGCTATGCCTCTACCACAAATAGAAGAGTTTACAAGGTTTTTACTTTTACAAAACTGAAGTACACACATACATATATATATACATACATATGGTGACTTGGTCGATTCTTGGCAGAAAGTTTGCCTCTGTTTCACGTCTACTATCTCCTACAACTTTGACAAAACTGAAGTACACACATACATATATATATACATACATATGGTGACTTGGTCGATTCTTGGCAGAAAGTTTGCCTCTGTTTCACGTCTACTATCTCCTACAGCTTTCACAATCTGAAGTACACACATACATATATATATACATACATATGGTGACTTGGTCGATTCTTGGCAGAAAGTTTGCCTCTGTTTCACGTCTACTATCTCCTACAGCTTTCACAATCTGAAGTACACACATACATATATATATACA